TTAAGTGGATTGATAAATAGACTTGTAATAACAATCTTTTACAAATACGAGATATCAAGTAATTAAGTCAATAACATTTATAAGTAATCATTTTAAGTGTAAGGATAAGGTGTATTATTATATTTTCTCTATCTTAAATTATAAGATATTTTTAGAAAAAATTTCACATATTAACAAATTTCATTAAATACACTTAACAACTTTATTTTTTCAAAACAAAAATATAAATTTTTAAAAATACTCATCATTTAATACATTAAAAAAACAAAAGATAGAAATTAATTATAGAGGAATAAAGAATAATATTAGAATTGATGCATTTAATGAAATCTTAACTTATTTAAAGTATTTATATTTTCAAATAAATTTTTTTAAAAAAATATCCTATAATTTAGGGTGGAAGGAGTATTAGCCATTGGTAAAGAATTTTAAAATCAATAATAATAATAATAATAATACAAAAGAAGATATGAAGTCTAGAGTCAGAAATCGGGAATCAAGCAAATCCATGTCGTGGTTATTGGCTGAGTTCCTCTTTTTTTAACGAATGGGAAGAAATCTTTGTAGAAAACAAGATCGGAGAATTTGACTTCTTTCCCCCTTAAAGATGTTTCAAAACCGGACGCCAAAAGTTCTACTCCCTTCCCTTCGATTCATTCATTGCACAAAATGCCCTGCTCCTTTTGTTCCTATTATAAACTTATTTTCTTTTTAAATATAAAAAATATTATGATATTTTTAAGTAATTAAATAATTTTATCTTAAACAAAAGAAATGTTAATCGGGTGTTTTATCCATAATTACCATGATATTAATTGATATTATTAGAGATAAAATTAAAAAAAATTATTGTAATTTAATGTGATTTCAACTAAATAATAAACTATTATTAATGTACGATATTCAATTAAAAATATCTTATATATGGATTAAGATAATGTAATTAATTCATATGTCATGCCTACTCGTGTGTGTGTATTAAATTTTACCCTTATTTAACAGGATTAAAAAGTAGCTTAGGCTTTATCCTTATTTATGGACCTTAAACTTTTGAAATGTACAAAATATCACCTTAATTTTAAAATTTTGAACATTTGTAACCTTATTATTAAGTTGGAGGAAATGATAATTACTTTTGTAATTGTAGGATCCAGTCATACACTGATATGTCACTCATCTTGATTCTTAAAAATAATATTTGTTTTCTTTAACTTAACAGCAAGGTTTCATGTGTTTAGAATTTAGAAGTTAGAAAAGTTTTTATATATTTCAAGCGTTTAAAATTTAGAATGCCTATTCATAAAATAAATTAAGGATTAGAATATTCATTAATCCTGTTTAATACCGACCCCATTTGCTAACTTTTGATGAAAAAGATAGTATTTATAACAAGACATTTCAAACATTTAATAGACACATACAACAACAACAACAACAAGCCTTTATCCCACTAGGTGGGGTCGACTACATGGATTGCAAGACGCCATTGTGCTCTATCATTTATCAAGCTTTTAGGAATATTATTAATTAAGAGATCGCGTTCAACAACTTTCAAGAGTGTTCTCTTAGGCCTTCCTCTACCTCTCTTAATCGGACTCAAAGTTATATGTTCCACTCTTCTCACTGGTGCCTCCCTTGATCTTATTTGTACATGCCCAAACCATCTCAACCGATTTTCTACCATTTTTTCCTTAATAGGTGCCACCCTCACTTTTTCGCGAACGTGCTCATTTCGAATTTTATCCTTACGTGTATGTCCGCACATCCATCGTAACATTCTCATCTCTGCTACTCCAACTTTATGCTCTTGCTGTCCCGTTAGAGCCCAGCATTTACTACTATATAACATTGCCGGTCTGATAGCAGTGCGATAAAAATTTCCTTTAAGTTTATTAGGCACCTTACGGTCACAAATAACTCCTTTAGCTTTTCTCCAATTAAACCACCCAACTTGAATTCTATGTGAAATATCTTCACTGATTTCGCCATTATTTTGAATAATGGCTCCCAAATATCTAAACTTTTCCACTTGAGGTATAATTTGATCTCCCAATTTCACTTCCAAATTATTTTCTAATATTCCTTTATCAAATTTACAATATAAATATTCCATCTTACTTCTACTCAGACGAAAACCTTTCGACTCCAATATTCTCCTCCATAACTCAAGTTTACAATTAACCTCTTCTCTTGTCTCTGCTATAAGAACTGTATCATCCGCGAAGAGCATACATTTCGGGATTTCCTCTTGAATATGTTCCGTCAAAACATTTAAAATCAAGTTGAACAAATAAGGACTCAGAGATGATCCCTGATGTAGTCCAATCTTTATAGAAAAATCCTTTGTTTGACCACTAGGTGTTCTTATACTAGTTTTTACCCCCTCATACATATCTTGTATGGCTTTAATATAAGCAATCCGTACTCCCTTTTTTTCCAACGCTTTCCAAAGCACTTCTCTTGGTATAGGATCATAAGCTTTTTTCAAATCAATGAAAACCATGTGTAGATCTTTATCTTTACAACGATACTTTTTTATTAATCTCCTTAGTAGATAAATCGCCTCTGTAGTTGATCTACCTAGCATAAAACCAAATTGATTCTCAGAAATACTTGTCTCCAATCTCAACCTGTGCTCAATTACTTTCTCCCACAATTTCATTATGTGGCTCATGAGTTTAATCCCTCTATAGTTAGTACAATTCTGAATATCTCCTTTATTTTTATAAATAGGAATTAATGTACTTCTCCTCCACTCATCAGGCATTTTCTTGGACCGTAAAATCACATTAAATAACTTAGTTAACCATCTCACCCCTTCTTCACCTAAACATTTCCACGCTTCGATAGATATACAATCAGGTCCGTTGGCTCTACCACTTGTCATTTTCTTAAGAGCTTCCTTTACCTCCTTATCACGTATTATTCGATAGAATGACAAATTTTGTTCTCCTTCACCAGTTACTAAATCCTCCAAGTTACTAGATGAATCCTCTCCATCATTGAAAAGTTTAGAAAAGTAAGTCTCCCATTTATTTTTAATTTCATCATCTGTAACTAAAATTCTTCCCTCTTCATCCTTAATACACCTTGCCTGTTCTAGATCTCTTGATTTTCTTTCCCTACTCTTGGCAATCTTATAAATATTTTGCTCTCCTTTCTTCGTCTCAAGGTTCTTATAAAATTCTTCAAAAGCTTTAGAACGAGCTTCACCCACAGCTCTCTTAGTTTCCTTCTTAGCCATACGGTACCTCTCCTAATTTTCCTCATTGTTACACAAATGTATGGCTTTAAAACAGTTCTTCTTATACTTGATTTTGTCCTGTACACTATTATTCCACCACCAAGACTCCTTATCTCTCGGACCAGAACCTTTCGATTCTCCCAAAACTACTTTTGCAACCTCCCGTATCTTTTTAGCCATATCCTCCCATATGATGTTAGCACTTCCCTGAGATTCCCAAATTCCTTTATCCAAAAAATTTCGCTTGAAAATATCTTGCTTCTCACCTTTTAATTGCCACCATCTAATCCTTGGTGTTACTACTTGTCGACGTTTTTGGATTTTACTCATAATACACACATCAAGGACTAGGACCCTATGTTGTGTCGTAACAGCATCTCCGGGAATCACCTTACAATTTTTACAAAGTTTTCTATCTGTGTTCCTAACCAAAAGAAAATCAATCTGTGACCTTGAGGCTCCACTTTTGTAAGTGATAAGATGCTCATCTCTCTTCTTGAAACAAGTGTTGGCAATCTTGAAATCATACGCTAATGAGAAATCAAGAAGAGTTTGTCCTTCATTGTTTAGCTCTCCAAAACCAAAACCACCATGCACCCTCGCATACTGACCAGCTTCCCTCCCAACATGCCCATTAAAGTCTCCTCCAATAAAAATCTTTTCACTCTGTGGTATATGTCGAATCAACCCCTCTAGATCCTCCCAAAATAATTCCTTAAGACTGGCTTCTGTCCCGACTTGCGGCGCATAAGCGCTAACAATATTAACAGTCTCATGTCCAATTATCATTTTTAAGGAAATAATTCTGTCTCCAATTCTGCTAACTTCTACAACGTTCTTCTTCCACTCCTTATCTATAATGATGCCTACTCCATTGCGTGCACTTACTTTTCCTGTATACCAAAGTTTGAAACCTTGAATATCTTTAGCTTCTTCTCCACGCCATTTTGTTTCTTGCAGGCAAAGGATATTGATTTTCCTTTGAATCATAACCCCTACAACCTCTAAAGATTTACAATTTAATGTCCCAACATTCCAAGTACCAAATCTAATTTTGCTCTTATGGACTAACTTCTTTAGCCGCGTGCGTCCAGAATGACGCGGTAGCCCTTGCTCATTTAACACTACATCCGGGCGCCGATGCAGCGGCTCTAACTCACTTATCACTGTACTTGAGCCATGCAGCGCGTTACTTACGGGCAACGACCTAGCATTAACATTATAACGTCTATTGTCCATGTTCATGATAGATTCAACAAAGTTTTACATTGGCTGTTGATGGCCTAACACAACCCTCCTCCTTTACCCGGGCTTGGGACCGGCTATAAACATAGGCGGAGTTATAATGTTAAAAAAAAAATCAGATAGACACATATTAACAAAAAATCAGATACCTCTCACTTATGAGATTTTGTGATTTGTTTTTTTTTAAAAAATAAATGATAATAAAAGCATTAATGGCTACCGTCATGGCGTTATCGGCGAGCATAATGAATATTGAGTGCAGCAACCGGATAGTCAGATGAGCGTGGTTCGAATTGTAAACCAAGGTGTGAAAGTGAGTTGGTCGCTTCTTCCACTTCTAGTTGATTTGTCTTTTAGTTGGAAAAGCGGCATTTATCACAAAGGACAAATATCGGGCTTACTTGTAACGGCAAAGCTGTAGAAACATATGATTTTTTAAACTTGTTCATTCAACATTCCAAATCTGAGCACGAAGCACGCAAATTTCACGTTCATGTTCATGCTCATTCTTCCGCAAGTCGATTCGGGAATGCGCAAAACGCATAGCCCAGCGAGGGAGATGAAAAGTGAAAGTTACTGGGCCGTGTTTCCCACCAAGTTCAGCCTTTTTATGGGACCGTGAAATCCTTCCCTTCCTCGCCCGGGTGGGTCACTCTTTGTGGCCCCACTTTCCCACTTGCTGCTCTGTTCTGTCTTAGCCTCTGCTTGCCTGCTCCCCTATTTTACTTTTATTTTCTTTTCAAACTCCTTCATGTCTCTTTTTGTGCTCTGCTTCTATTTGGCCAAAGAAAGATCTTGTCCTCCTTCTCAATATGTAACCTCAAGAATTTTTGTTTTCTGCTTCATAAAGTTGATGTATACTATAAAACTTGTGAATTTGGTTGATCGGACATTTCAGGATTATCTTCGACGGTTGTTTTTTGTCGTCCAGTCAAAAGAAAACTGCTCACTTAGAATCCAAGCATCTGGATCACGTTGATTGGACTGCCTTCGCAGTTTATTGTTTGAATAGGTTTAACTTGTTAGTTGTTTCCGTTGCGGACTAAAGAGCTGGTGGTAAAAGGGGCTCCTTGAATGATTTCTTAGCTTAACCTTCTCTGAGACAGCGCGAGTTGGATTTGATGCTTGTTCCTAGACAATGGAGAGTTTTCAGTTTCTTTAGCATTAGGTACCGTAGCCTATCGAAAAGATATGAAGAACATTCTCAAGAAGCTCCATATCATGTCTAATCGATCAGAAGATGCGGCAGGATCTACTTCATCGAGAGGCCACAAGTCCAATGATGGTTCATTCCCCAAGAAGCCATCAAACTCTCGCTCCCCTCAAAATTCTGAGCATAAACCCTTTCCGGGGCTTTCGAGCTGGTTGCACTCGGTTGCTAACAGGCAGAGTCTTGGTCCTCCATCTTTGAATCTGAAAAAAGGAGAAAGAGTGGAACCATCTGATTTAGTTAGCAGTGGTGGTTTGGATATTGTTTCGGGTTCAGCGAGGCGTGATTCTGGGTCTAGCACTTCGAGGGATCCCGAAGTAGAGGAAGAATATCAGATACAATTGGCTTTAGAGATGAGTGCAAAGGAGGATCCCGAGGCAGTGCAGATTGAAGCTGTTAAGCAGATCAGTTTGGGCTCTTGTTGCCCTGATAATACACCAGCTGAAGTTGTGGCCTACAGATACTGGGTTAGTTATCTTACTTCAAGCTCATTGACTTAAGGTTGAAGTCACATTCTCCTTGTTATGACGATTCCGTCGGGAGCAAAGATGATGTGCAGAGTGTGATTGCTCATTATGTCATTCGTTGAAAATATGAGTCACAGAGAAATTTAAAAAGAATTTCATATGGATAGATGGAGTTTTATGCTGTGAAGCATTGAATTATGTTTAAAGCATCAATTTCGAATCAATGTCATTATTCTTTTAGAACACCAGGATTGTTGATAAAATGTCTCGTTCAGTTTTGTCTAAAAAAAAGGCCTATAAATTTTTCAGAGGACATGCTTTGTGTGTTTGCTTTGTCTTGCGCTTCTGTCGTGCAGGATCTCCAGCATTTTGTTTACCTTCTCTCAATTCTGCATAACTTTTGTATAGTCTTTGGCATGTTCATAAGTTGCCTGCGTTTTCTCCATTTCGCCTTCTCACATTGCAATCACTTGCGGACATATAGCTGAACTCAGATTGCTACATAGTGTTTGGATTGTTTCACATATTCCATGGATTAAAATGGACTTAGTCGAATATGTCCTGTTGAGTCGAATATGTCCTGTTGTTATTTGACTCTTTTGTCTTGCATATGTTCCTTTCTAATTTATCTCATATCGTAGATTTATCCATGCTTCACAGAATTACAATGCTATTGGTTATGATGATAAGATCTTGGATGGTTTCTATGATCTTTATGGGATCTTAAATGAGGCCCAATCAACCTCTGCAACAATGCCTTCCCTGGTGGATCTGCAAGGGACACCGACCTCAGATAGTGTCGCTTGGGAAGCAGTCTTGGTCAATAGGGCTGCTGATTCAAATTTATTGAAACTTGAGCAAAAAGCCCTGGAGCTGGCTGTCAAGTCAAGACCAAATTCTGAAGTAGTTATAAATAGTGATTCGGTGCAGAGGCTTGCCATATTAGTGGCAGACTATATGGGTGGACCGGTTACAGATCCTGAAAGCATGACAAGAGCATGGAAGAGTCTTAGTTACAGTCTGAAAGCAACTCTTGGTAGCATGGTTTTGCCGCTTGGTTCTCTGACCATTGGATTGGCTCGGCATCGAGCATTGTTGTTTAAGGTACTTGTTCATCCATTTTGTTTTATGGCTTGGATTTTAACTAAGAACAATCCCCGTGTACAAAGTGATGGAGGCCTCTAATAATGTGGACAATTTTTTTGTTAGATGAAATTTAGAGAATGAGCCAATAATGACTGTTACATCCTATGGGTGTTTTTATTGTATTTTCTAACTTGAGATTTACCACATGCTGGATATATTCGTGAACATTTTTATTTTTTTAGTACTTTTGATATAAAATCTTTGAACTCCGACCCCTGATATATATTCTCTATGTTAAATATAGGTTTTATGTGATAGCATGGGCATCCCATGCTGCTTGGTCAAAGGACTACATTATACAGGTTCTGATGATGTGGCCATGAACTTTGTCAAGGTTGATGATGGAAGGTGACTGTAAAATAAATTTGTTTTTTTTTTGTTGTTGGCAAGATTTGTTTTTATGCAGTTTTCTTTGCATTGTTATTGAGATATTGGCTTTTATGCATCTGTGAATTACCTCTCTTGTTTTCTGTATTCAATATTCAATTGAGTACTCAAGCATTAACGCTCAATGCTTCCTTTGTCTCATTCTGCTCTAGAGTAGAACCTGTGTCTTGTTACTAATCTCTTTTATGTCTCTGTTATTCTTTTTCTGCCGTAGCACTTTGTAGTTTTTCAAAATAATTCTTGAAAAGTGGTAGTTTCTGAATATTTCCTCATTCTTTCATATAGCTTTTTCAAATGGGAGTTACAAAGCGTTATTCTGTAACTATAAGATGTGGTTAATATAAATTTCAGGGAATACATTGTTGACCTGATGGCAGATCCTGGAACACTTATTCCATCTGATGCAACTGGATCACATAACGAGTATGATGAATCTGTTTTTGTGGCCAGCCCTTTGTCAAGGGACCTTGATTCCTCCCATGTAGCATCATCTAGCAGCGGGATTGGAAGTTCATCTGAAGAAGCTTCAGACTTTGGTACATTTGATAAAAGAAACAGATCAAAACAGATTGCCTATTTGGGCAAAGAATCTTATATAAGCAGGCCCACTACCAGTGAAGACGAATCAAAGGGCCCATTGTTGATGCAGGAAGCTCCTGGTAGACCAAATTATCCCTACGTTCATGTAAGATCTCCTTCTTGGACCGAAGGGATCAGTTCCCCTGCAGTACGTAGAAGGAAAGTGAAAGATGTTTCACAATATATGATTGATGCTGCAATGGTGAATCCTCAATTAGCTCAAAAACTTCACGATGTTTTACTTGAAAGTGGTGTTGTTGCTCCTCCAAACTTATTTTCTGAAACTTATCACCAGCAGTTAGGTGCTCCAATTGTTGAGAATAACTCCAACACTGGGGAAAATGAATTTGAAGGGGAGAGTGGGAAACAGGAAGCTCAGCCTGATTCCCACCAAAGTCCTGCTCAATTCTTGCCTCCTTTGCCTCCCTACAGAGCTCATCTCAAAGCAATTCCTAGCAGTCAGCTTGAGCAATCCAAGCCTTTAGAAGGTCTAGGGATCAACCTTCCTTTTGATCATAGGGAAGTAGCTGGACAGCACTTGCTATCACATGCAGAAGCAACTCTTACAAGATATGGGAAGAATGTACCAGTTGCTGCAGCAGCAGCAGCTGTTGTTGCTTCATCAATGGTAGTTGCTGTGGCAAAGTCAAGCAATGACTCAAATATTGAGCTTCCTGTTGCAGCAGCTGCTACTGCTACTGCTGCAGCTGTAGTAGCAACCACTGCAGCTGTTGGTAAACAATGTGACCAGGGAAGTCGAAGTGATGGTGATTCAGATGGTGCTTTTCATGAGCAGGGGGTTAGCGATCATGGGGAGCATAGTGTTTTGGGAGAAAACACAGAAGGTGAGAGAATATCTGACAGATCAATAAGTAATGATAGCACAAAATCTGATTCTGCACTAGATGATGTTGCTGAGTATGAAATTCCATGGGAGGATATCACACTGGGTGAGCGTATTGGGCTTGGTATGAATTGTACAATATTCTATGAGACTGAATTACATTCTTCTTTTAGATGGTGCTATAATGTATAGCAACAGGTGTTTATATCTGGTTTTACATATGGAGACTTAATTTTACTTGTCTGGCATATTCTTGGCCTTCAGGATCATACGGGGAGGTATACAGGGGTGAATGGCATGGAACTGTGAGTTTTGTATGCTCTTGACTTGAACATATTGTATTATTTGCAATCTTTGCACAAGCATATACATTTTTTTCCTCTTATTTACTTTTTTTCTTTTTCTCAATTGTTGGCTTTCAAGATCTAAATTCTCACCTGTGCAGTTTCACCTCTGTATATCCTATAAATGCAGAAAAACAAAAATACACTTTTTATAATTAATTGATTGTTCCTCAAGATAAAAATCAATATTTTCTGCTTTCAGGGTAATTTTCACTTATGATGTAGGTGTTATGAAATTTAAGTATTTACTGCTAGTTGCCACGCTTTGTTCTTAGGAAGTAGCTGTAAAGAGATTTTTGGATCAAGACATCTCTGGTGAATCTCTTGAGGAATTCATAAGTGAGGTAGAATTCACGTTGACTTCCTGCAGTGAATCTCCACTCCATTGGTTTTTTACTCAGATAATGCTTCCAGTTGATTAATTGTTATGCATACTTCAAACATTAAAAATACGATCTTAGATTTATCTATGGTGCTTGTCTCCTCAGTTGCTTCCGGCAATGTGATATGTGTGCTCCATAATCAAAAATCACATAAAAGTAATCTTTTGTTTAATTTTAGCCATTTTAGCCTCTGTTTTTTTTTTTTTAAGTTTTCAGTACATTTATTCAATCTGGCATATGGCTCTTGCTTCAGAAAGGAATATTTGTATATACTCTAGTGTTCAGAATATGCTTCAAGTTGCTAGATATGGGCTTTTTCAGTCACCAGTGTAAAGCTACCTTTGTTTTTGCCTGTTCATTCTGCGTTCCGTTTTCAGTATCTTTTCATAACTAATTATAACTGATATGTTTCATTATATTATGTTCAAAATATTTTTACTAATCGGGGAGCACCTGTACGGAGACAGAGGCCTTGTCCTAATTCACCTTTCAGTCTTCCTCATGAATTTTTAAACGTGATCAAGATTGACCAATTTGAAAGATTCTTGGATATGATTCTGTTATTAGTTCTGCATAATAAATGTAACTTAGTAATTTGTTTTTTGGCCATTTGTAGTGACTTGCTCTTCCCCTTTTTGAAATTTAAATGCTGGATGGCTGTCAAATCAATGTTTCTAGATGATGGAAGTGCTTATGGAATTATATTCTGAATTGCAATAGGTCCGAATAATGAAAAGGCTCAGGCATCCAAATGTTGTTCTCTTCATGGGAGCTGTAACCAAACCCCCAAATCTTTCAATTGTTACAGAATTTCTTGCCAGGTAATTTGGAGGGCTTCATTTCTTGAGATTAGTAAGAGATTGTTGGTTGCAAATTTACACTTTTTTGGAAGCTGATCTTTTCTAATAGTGAAAATTAAAGGAACAGTTCTCTTTTAGACAAAAGAACAACGCTGTATGTATTTTTCTACTGCAAAGGACCATTTCATCCCTAAAGCTGTTAAGTGAAGGCTCAACATTAATTTTTTGTTATTTCTGACATCTACTGAAAAATCTCACTGAGCTGGTTTAGTAAATGACATGGCATGTCATACAACTACAATGACACGTGTTATTGGGAAAATAATAATTGTACATCCTGTATGTATAAGAACTTCCATGTTATGAGATAAGCATATTTATTCTTTTGGTAAAATAGCAATAGTTGAGGCAAAACTACAGAAAATGAATTATTTGTTTTTGATGAGTCCACTGATAAGAAATGGGGCTGGGTTTGTAAAAGAAGGGGGAGTAAGGGCCCAGATATTGAAGCTCATTAAGCAGAGGGGCAGAATGGGCTTTTCACCAGGTAACCGATGCTCAGAATCTGCCAGTAAGTGGAGGTGTATAGAAAGGGTGTAAGGGGGGGTATTGGCATGAGTATGGTCTTGTAGTGAGGGAGAGGTCCTGGTCTCTCGAAAACCAGGTTGAGTGTGCTGTTACTTTTCTTTCTGAGAGTGTTAGCTTGAGCGTTTTGTTCTGTTGGTGTAGTAGAAGATCATTGAGTGATTAGGGATTGTATTCCTTTACATCTTCCACGCGTAATAGAGGTTTACAGCAAACTATTTTCTTCCAAATTTGCATTGTTTCGTTGCAGGTTCTATCAGTTTTACGTAATTTCTATTAGATATTATGGTTTACATTTGGATATTCTTGCATTACAGAAATGCATATGTGGATAGTTTTAGGCATGTATCTATTTGAGATCATGTTATTATGTAATCTTGTCTTTGCTTTAAAATAATATTTCCTTTTATTGAAAAAAACATATTTAAACCCGAACATTTGTTGATACTTGTTTAGTCAATAAATTACAATTGGTAAATTCAGAAATTATTGAGATACTATGTGTACCATAGTTTGTTGAATTTCTTTTTGTCTACTGTTTCAAGTGTATTCGTTGTTTTTCAAATGACTTTTTTGTGGGCATTGTTGACCATTCAAATACTGATACATAGATAATATTTTCAGGGGAAGTTTGTATAGATTAATCCACCGGCCTAACAATCAATTAGACGAGCGAAGACGACTGAGGATGGCCCTGGATGCTGTAGGATTTTGTTGTCTTTCTGTGAAGCTCCATTCAGCCTATGTATGCTTTAGTCAATGACTCTTATTAGACATAACCTGTCTATTATGAATATTCAGGCGCGAGGAATGAACTACTTGCATAACTGCTCTCCAGTGATAGTCCATCGTGATTTGAAGTCTCCAAATCTTCTTGTTGACAAAAACTGGGTTGTAAAGGTGCAAACCTAAACCCACTTCAAAATTTCCTTAATAATGTGGTGGATGCTCCAAGCTGGTATGAAATCTTCTGTGTCCTTGAATAGGTATGCGACTTTGGTTTATCACGAATGAAGCACAGTACATTCCTTTCCTCGAGATCAACTGCAGGAACAGTAAGATAACATAAACCTTTCCTTAATAAACTTTGTTGTTCCATTGTATCTTGTTGAAATTTTGCTTGTTTACTTTCTCGCCCGTATGTTTTCTTTCTCAGAACCTCTCTCTCTCTATCACACGCACACATGCAATGTCACTTGCTGCAGTCTTTAACTTCAGTTTTAGAAGGTCTGGAAATTAATCCCTTCTGAATTGGTATGCCTGCTATGGTATGTTGCATATATAGTACCAGAACACCTAGAATTGGGCCGAATTTAAAGGGGATATGATGGCCAACAACCTTGAAGTCATTATTTCCTCGTGTATTATCTTAAGATCAGTGACAATAAGTTAACTGTTAGACTATGGATATTGTCTTTATATAAGGCGATCTTGCTCCTTTATGCATTGTTTTTCTTCCACAATCATTTCCTCAGCTTGAATTGTTGAAAGAAGATATGCAAATCCCAGTAATTGGATGCAGTAGTTACTTCATGTTGTATAACGTTAACTATGTTTCAGGCAGAGTGGATGGCTCCAGAAATATTAAGAAATGAGCCTTCAAATGAAAAGTAAGCTTTTTTTTCTTGTTCAGTTTTTTGTTCTTGGTATAAACTATTTGATTTTCTATTGAATTTTCATTGTGGAAAGTAGAGTGCCATTGTGAATGTATGATACTGAGAATGGCACATGTTGCTTCCCAATAAAAATTTATGTTGAAATATACTACACCCACGCACACATCATTAGATTGTGGTGGGAATGCAAGGTTCTTGTTAGCATCTTGATCATAATAATGAATATGCTGTTGCTGAAAATTGAACTAATTCAGCCTTGAAGGTTTGTAGCTTACTGTTAGGGTGCTTCTACCTCTCTAAACCTCGAAATATCATATAATCAGTCCTAAACCTCAACTTTCCTATTCATTAATATTTAAAATTCGAAATTCTAGGGTGTTACAACCTTGTCTGCTGTAACCGGGACTCTCAAAATGAAGAAGCTATTTAGTTGTTTATTTATGTTTTAAAGGAGACTTAACACTTGGAATCAACTGATATTTGATTTTTCTATCGATAAATTTGACAAATGAAAATGCTTTGCAAGACATCTAAAAATCAGATGTATGTTCATGCAAAACATATTATGGTTTTTGGCCAACAAACTTAGACATTTAAAAACTAAGTAAAGTGTGCTTGAAGTACATTTAAAAACTAATTCAACCACTTTAATAACTTGGCCTTTGAACAGTAAGCTTTAGGGTCATATTTGACTTGATCTTGCTTCCCATGTCTACATAATGGTTCACAAATGAATCCCATCTGATTTGCGCATCTTGAGCTTTAGGAAAACATTCTAAATCTTCAATTTACATGCCACATGGTTCATTATCTCCCTTCTTACCTATCATCTCATTGGCTTTGCTACTTTTAATCCATTCATGGTTTATGATGATAATAAGTTGGGATCCAACTTCCAGGTGTGATGTTTTCAGTTTTGGGGTCATATTATGGGAGCTCTCTACCATGCAGCAACCCTGGGGGGGAATGAATCCAATGCAAGTTGTTGGTGCTGTGGGTTTCCAACATCGCCGACTTGAAATCCCAGATGATATGGACCCTGACATTGCAGATATTATCAGAAAATGCTGGCAGACGTGAGTGTAGTTTTATTTGTATCGTCCTTCCATATTAAACTGTAGATGTCTGATTATTTATTGCAGATTATTCAGTAAATGAACTTTAGAGAGATATCCTAACTGCTAATGATTCAAGGGTTATCTTCCTGAACAGCCAAGTGTACCTATTGACTTACGGAAGTATGTGAGGAGTGAGGACATTATTCCCCTGCTTTCCTTGTTTGTGTCAGATTTCTTTTTTCAACATATATATGTATGTATGTATGTATGTATATGATTCAAATGTTTCTGAATAAAGACCCAAACATGATTGAACAAGTTATGTATCCATTCGTTTCCAGCAATTGTTTTCCCTAGTTATTGCTTGTTACATCCTGGTGGAAGAATTTTTCCCTCTTTATGGCTGCATGACTGAATGTGGCTTCTTTTTGGCAATAGAGATCCAAAGTTGAGACCAAGCTTTGCCGAAATAATGGCAGCTCTGAAGCCATTGCAGAAGCCAATCATTAGTTCACAAGTGCAAAGGTCAAGTGCATCACGAGTTGCACAAGACCCAGCTGGATAGGAGTCCAATGAGTATACAGCTAACTAAACCCTTGTTCAATCTACTGCAAAAAGTGGAAGGCAAGTTGTAGAGTATTTGAAAGAGTGAAGAAGTGATTGGTTGAAGTTGAAAACCATGACCTCTCGTACATTCTCATTCAAGGTTGTGATTCTTTCCACTCCGGTTTTTCCTCTTTTTTTCTTTTTCCCCCTTCCCAACAATCCAATGTGAAGCCATTGTTTATCAAGATTGTCCTGTATGTGCAATTTGTTTGTATTAAATTCTTTTGAAATGGGTGTAATCAATGTATCAATTTTGTTACTCAGAAGTTTTGTTCAAAAAAGGATAGGATCGAGACTGAAAGCCATGTGCTGCTCGAGCTAGTTGGCGTGGGAATTGGGTAAGTTTGCAGCATCGAATTGTATGGGAATCCTGTTTGATTATGCCAACTTCTCTCATTCCTACTCTCTGAATTACACTGAAAAGACAGGCAGGCAAGGCATTCTGATCAAATGAACAGGTTCTGAAGAGTGGGGGGAAAAGAAAGCGCGTCTTCTCGGTCGCGCAATGCAGAATGGCAGACAACCATTGGATCATATCGTAATAGATTACTCAAAAAAAAAAAAAATCAACCCACAAGACTTAATTGAACTAAAGTAACAAGATTCTGTTTTTGTTCGAACAAGAACTCAACACTTTCATCGTAACAGTCGAGATTTCAATTTCATAGCCTTCAATTGTGAGATAACATGGCCCAAAAACTATTTTTTTACAATCAATATATCATTATGTAATATTATATATATATATATATATATATTACTCGCCTCAAGCTCCATGCGATGATACGTGAGAGGACATTTCTACATATCATGATATAGGATACTGAGAAGTTTTAAAGTGGCGTGGACCATACGAGGCCAGCCTATTATAAAATTTTTAGTTGTCCAAGAGCCATGTCTCATGCTAATAAATAAGAGGCCCTGATAACTCTCCTATTAGTTAAAAAATCTTTTATTTTAAGAGATTTAAATTTTCATTATTTGATTGATAGGAAGAATCTATAAGTAATAAATAATGTAGTTCCGTAAAAATACTGTATAATACAATACATATAAACATTTAATTAGAAAATTTAAATGATTCATTTGGATGCTTAAAATAATTTACTTTTCTTTTTAAAAGAAAAATGTCCAAACTGCCAATTGAAGTTTCCATGAGTGATAAATGCCCTTGTCACTCAAACAAGTGAATGCAAGTTTGAAATCCAGTCATTGTATATGTAGTAATATATGTAGTAATTTAATTGGGAGAGATTTACTCATTGTTCTTGATATTTTTGGAACTCCTTATATTAAAAATAAAAAAAGTATCCAAACTCAAAAATAACAGGATATCTATTGCCTTCACATGCCTCAATTGCACCCTCAATTTAAATTCGTTGGCGCCTGATCCTTTCCCGGATGAGAAGGCTGTGATGGACTTTTACTTGAAATTGGTTGAAGCCCAGATGCCCAGATTAGATGCAACGCTAATTCCATCTGCATTGAGTCGGAACCTCATTCAGTGCACCCTCTCAATTCTAGCCCCTCCTTTTCGCGGCTTATTCCAACCTTCCCACTTCCATCACCTAAGGTTCAAACTTGCATGAACGCATGCAATCCCTAACGCGCGCCTTACTCAAACTAGGGACTTGCGCGGAAGTATGATAACATCAAATATCATTCACAGCAACAAATTTTATAGTCAATTTCACAAACGAGTGCTTCACAAGCATACAATTGGAGCATACGAATCGAACAGTTCAGTGTATATTCTTTCTATCATAATACCCCCAAAAAAATTATATAGTCAGATGCACAAATGCAATTGCGTGCAGGAAATTGACAAAGATTTTATAGTCTGAGCTAATGTTCTTATTAACAAAGATGCTTCTGATTCTAGCATTCCATGATTTTCAGCAAGGGGCGCCAAACACAATCAGCCACTATGCTCTCTGTCCATCCGCTACATTCTTGGCTCTCTAGTTGTCTTTAAATCATTCTTCCCGAGGTTTTTAAGCAGAGACTCCACTCCTCTCAGGACCACGCGCCTCCAGACTCCCTTTTCTCATTCACATCTTCTCAAACATGAGTTTCACATCTTCATCTGCCTTGCCCCAAATGCTGTAAGCTCCATTTTCTATCATCTGGTGCCAACATCGCTCAGCATTGGTCTGCAGTCTTCCTTTAACCGCAAGCTAGAGGAACACTCGCCAATTGCGCCCCAGGCCATTTCCCCCAACATATGTCCACATCCCATGTGTCATCTTCTTGCTGCCCTTCCTCATTCATCAGTAGTTCATGTGTGGATCTCATAGTGAAATTTCCATCTGCTCACATGGTCCAATAGTACTGAGCATCGCCATTATCCTCCCTTGGTGGCTTTAATTCCTGCCTCAACAAGGTCCATGAGGCTAGAGAATCAATCTCTTAGAGGTCCATCAATGAGAAATCAAGCAACCTGACACAAAAAAGTGTGGAGTTTGTACCAATTACAAGTAGTCCCAACAAACAGGAAGTCAACATTCCTAAAAGCACAGAAATTAAAACTTCACTTGGAACTTGTAGCTGTTCTCATGAATTTATTCCATAGTCAGCCAAAATATGATTCTAAATAGAAGACAGAGGGCATTAGCGATATAATACTTACTTAGAATAATGTGAGCCTAGACACAGATAGCATGAACAAACTTGAATCACGATAGTTCTAACACCAAAAACTCTGAATACCAATCAATCCTCTGATGAAAACTGGAAATGACTACCAAAATAAACACGAGTGACTCAAATTATCATTAAATAAAAAATAATGTTCGGACATTGGCAAAGACAACACTTGTAGGCATAGCAGAAGGGGAAAACGCATACCAGAGAGAGATCATGCTAAAAAGTGAAGGGAGGGAGAGCTGCCCAGACTGAGCAAATGATGCACAAAGAAGAAAATAGCTTCAGTCTGGTTGATGGGAACCTATATATGCCTTTCATCATCTTATCAGACCCCTAGCAATCATTTCCTGATGAAGTTCCTCTGCTTTACCAGTCTCATTGTTCTTTAGCATGGCACTTATAATTGTACTGAAAGTAATGACATCAGGGAGGCAATCATTGCCATCCATTTTTGAAAGCAAGGTTACAGCTTCATCTAGCAAGCCATCCCTACAAAGTCCACTAATTATAATAGTATATGTTTTGACATTAGGATGAAAGCCTTTAATCAAAAGATTCTGAAAAATTTCTTCTACAGTCTTCAGTATTCCACCTTCTATTTCTGTTTCCGGCCAACTCAACCTTCCACCTTTCCGCCAATCATAACTGACTACCTTGTCCAAATCAGGCCAGATTCCTTGGACAACTAGTTGATGAAAAAGTGCAATTGCCTTGTCAACATGTTGGGTTTTGCAAAAAGTGTCTAGCAGGATATTGCAAGTGACTACATCAGCAGGCTGACCACTATCATCCATCTCAACTACAAGCTCCTGCACATCTGACATTCTTCCTAATTTGCACAAGCCCCTAATAAGAGAATTATAGGTAACAATACTAGGGACCAGATTTTTGTGGCGCATCTCTTTCAAGAGACTCATGGCTTCATTAATCTTGTCAATATTGCAATATCCATTAATCAAGACATTGTAATTCTGAATGTCCGGAAGTAGGCCTCTGTTGACCATCCCATCAAATAATTCTTTTGCCTCATCAACATTATTGCTTGAACAACACAGATCTATTAAAACGCTGTAAGTAAAGACATCAGGTTTCACAGCTCTTTTCATCATCATGGCAAACATACCCTGAACTTCTACTAACCTGCCTTGTTTACATAATACATCAAGCAATATATTAAAAGTATAGACATCTGGATTGATGTTTTTCATTACCATGTCATTCAGCAATTGATTCACTTCTTTCCACTGACCCGCGTGGCAAAAACCAAAAATCAAAGAATTGTAGGTGACAATATCAAGGAAAATTCCCTTAAGAATCATTTCAGAAGCTAACTTGCGAGCATCATTTACAAGTCCATCTTTACACAGGCGATCAATGATTATGCTGTACATAACTAGATTAGGCTTAAGCGCTTGTTTCTCTGTCTTTTGAAGCAATTCAATGGCAGCTCCTGTTCGTCCAGTTATGCATAATCCATTGATTAAGATGCCACAAGTATATTCATCAGACCGATATCCCCTTGCGGTTAGATCCTCGTGAAAGTCTAGTGCTTTTGAGACATTGCCATTAATACAAAATCCTTTAAGTAAAGTATTCAGAGTTATCATATTGAGTTGATGACCCTTCTTGAGAATCTTTGCCATTACGGAGAAAGCGAAACCCATTTGGTCCATATGGCAGAAACAGTTGATCAAGATACTGAAAGTGGCAATGGAAGGCGTCACTCTCCTTAACTCTACCAGTCGAACAAGTGAAATAACAGTGGGATAATGTTTCATCCTTACAAGTGCTCCCAAAATCTTGTCGAATTCGAGAATGGGAGCAGGGGGATGGAGGTCGATCATGGTATTGAATGAAGCTAAAGCATCAGCGACATTATAAAAGCCAGAAGTTTTCTTCGCAGACTGCCGTTGAGAATGTGCATGGAATCTCGGATTTTGAGAAAAAGTCAAGTAAACGAGGCAGGTAGATGCTGTAAGAAGAGGAGGGGATTTGGGAATGGCATACCTTGTATTCAACATCGCCGTCGCCTTGAAAGACGCAGGTCTTGCTGCCAATCGATTATCTTCGTAGGCAGCCCACTCCGGCAGCCGCCCTGCTCCCTTCCTGCCCTTCCTGCTGCCCACCGCCAATAGCAAATGCCCGCATTTTCTTGGACGCTGCAAGATTGCAAATTTTTTTTCCAGGAAAATAAATATTATTCCGTCTTTAGAAGGAAAAAAAAAAAACCATATTTTAATGCTTAGTAGATTCAATTCATGTAATGAAATTCTCTCTCCTAAATATTTTGTCAAAAATAAAATCATATTTTACGAAAAACTAGTTGGAAAAATCAAGTTAAATTTCATTCAAAATCATAATATTTATTTAATCAAACTTTCAGGAATTAATATAATTATTCTATAATTCATTTAAAATAAAGTATTTTAGATTTTTGTCGTAAAACCACTTTTTGGTTGATTAATTATTAAACTATTCACTTTTTGTTTTTTATCAAGAAATAATGATAACAAGGACGTAAAAAAATCGTAATTATCTACCAATTTGCTATGAAAAGGGGAACCTGACTCTCATCATGTGCGTGGTATCCCGATCGGCGAATGTCCAGTTCGTTCAGCCCAGAAAGTTCTTCGAAGACGAGATATAGGCCCAACTCATAGTTCATATTGGGCCTTATTACCCATTTCATGCCTGCTCTCCATGGGTGAGGAAGCCCAATGTCACACAAAAAGCGGCCTAATTCAGTTTTGCACTCTCGCTTGGGGACTTGCGGCTAATTCCAGTTTGCGATGATTCCATGTTCAAAGTAATATCTATATTAACAAAATATCCTCTAGGAAAAAAATATTCAAATATTTTGTCAGCATGAGCCTGGTACTCTGGCACCGTCTGATGGGTACACAGAACGCAATACTCTATTTTCGGTCTAAATTTTTGTTCTCGTAGTTCTAGATTTTAAGAATCTGATCACCTGGTACCTTGATAAATAATTAGTAAAAATAAGTTTCTAGACATTTTCAGACTACTCAAATTACGCGTTTTCCAGCTACTTCGACTTAGTGGTTTAATATCTAAATGTCAAGAGCTCTAAGACAAGTCTTTGATGAAAAGCAACAGTCAGTAATGAAATAGAATGAAATGAAGTGAAGAGGAATGGGATAGAATAAAATTTTTTATTATTTAAGAGTTTAATAATGAAAAGAAATAGTTTTATATGACTATTGGTTAGAAGTTATTATAAAATGAATGAAATGGAATAGTTTAAAAAAAATTTTGATATTACTCATATGACTAAACTTAAAAATAATAATAATGTCCATTAAATAATTATAATATTTATGCAACAAATAATAATAATAATAATAATAATAATAATAATAATAATAATTAATGGTTAAACAAAATATTTAAGAATTAAGAATAAAAAGAGAAAGTAAGTAACAGAATTATTTAAGCAAACATTCATGTTGCACAAGAAGACAACACAATAGAATCATAATGTTGAAAGGCACGATAAAAAGAGATGGCAAAAACGAGAGAGACATAGCAGAAAGTAGGGTTATGCACTATACTTAAATACTTGGTAAGCCTAACCTTATCCAAAGCATTTGGATATATGAGGTTAGGCATCGATGAGGTCAAACCTTACTTTGCCCAAATATGTGTAAGTTTTTTTATTTTTTGTAAATAATATTTATCTTATGACATTATTTTTTATTAAAAATTATTATGAATTATATTATTTTTATGATCTTTTAGACAATTTTTATCATTACAATTTTTTAAATCTCTTTCAAAATTTAAAATTTATTGTTAAGTTATTATTATGTAAAAATAATTGGCAATTGTTGTTGATTTGAACTTTTAAAAAATTAATTTTAATTTTAATATTAGTTTTATGAATAATATATTTTAAATAATAATAATATTTTTTAAGAAAATTTTTTTATATACTTGTTAAAAAATACTTGTAAAAATATTTTCATTTAATCAAACTAGCCTAGTGCTCAGGTGCACATCGGGCTGGGGTGATGCTTGCTCAATCTTACCTATGTGCAACCCTAGCAAGAGGAAAGAAAGATGATTAAAAAATGAAAATAACATGTAGGATATTTTTATTAGGATAAAAAATTGGGGGTAATTTTATAAATGAAATAATTATATCACATCACTCCATCCTTAAATTTCAATTTGAGAGGGCAAAAAAATTAAGTTATGGGTGACAAAGGAGTATTTTAGAAATCTTTCCTTACTATTCCATTCTTCTTTAAAAAAAACTTACAAATAATAATTTATATTTTTTAGTCATCTCACTTCATTCCATTCTCACTTCAAAAGATCTCCCAAACATGCAGTTAGTCCGGCAACTAACATTCAAAATATTAAAGGGAAAAGGAACGAATATCGGTTGTAAAGGATGTGTACTCTCCCCACCTCCAAAGTCATCACTGAGCAGCAAAAGAAAGGGTATATATGATAGAAAAAACTGCATTTACATTCTGTAATTGGGTCATGAGTGCATCATTTAGAAGAGAAGAAGTAATCATGAGGGGTAGAGAAGGCAATGGAAAGAAGATTGGTAAGAGAAAAAAGTATTGAAGACTCCACGAAATATATTGTAAATGCAGGGGTCTCAACTCGAAGTATAGCAGCAATTAGATTGCTTAGTTGCCGTGACTTGATCGATCACAGCAATCTGTTTCCCATTTGGAATACTGATGGCTGTACCGTTGATTTTGGGGTCCAGACTCTTGTGAGTGATGACGTCGTGGATCTTGGTGATCATTTGAAAGAATGCATCCTCCACATTCACGTTCTGCAGAGCAGAGGTCTCCATGAAACACAGTCCTTCTGTTTCCGCGAATCCTCTTCCCTCTTCTTTCTCAACCTCTCTGGACTGATCCAAATCGCATTTGTTTCCCACCAGAATGACCACCATATCCTCCTTCCCAAATTCTCTGAGCTCCCACAACCATTTTCTCACACTCTCATAGCTCGATCGTCTGCTTATGTCATAAACCAGCAGTGCTCCCAGTGCTCCCCTGTAGTATGAGCTTGTTATGGCTCTAAACCTGTCGCACATAAAAGCAACACCCACTCAGCTTGTTCTTCACGATAAATCATTGTCCATGCCTTGTCTTGGCTTGTTCCCTCGCTGTGCTGGAGGTTTCTAATAATTAATAATTGATACATTTTTTAATTATTAATAATAATGTTTCGTTTGATTTACAAAGTTCAACTCCAACACTCCTTTTTTCTTTGTTTTTTTTTTTTTTTGAATTCTGCACTTTCTCGAGTCTCGACCATAAGACCGTCATACCCTGGCCCACCTAGTCCTCTATTTACGCTACCAAGCTTGCATGTGAACTTTAAAAAACTATTGCAAAAAGAGGAAGCGCGGAAAGCAATTGTGACGACAAATGAGTGACCCTGTTGGTAAGATTCTTTTCTATTTTTTTAAAAAAGCATCAAAATGGTTATAACTTTGTTGTTCGCATCCAAAATTACATCTTTGGTTTGAAGACAAGTCACATGAAGCATGCATTACAAACAAAGAATTTCGGTGAAAGTTAAATCGAGTGCCTGGATACTGAGATTGAACATGTCTCTGACAGTTAAATGGCATGCACTGTTCTTTTCATAGAAATGTTTCTGCATCAAGAAACAAAGCGTATGGAAAATCTGAGAATCCTTAATCCCGGTGTTTTCGGGGTCCCACCTGAATGGACTTTTCCCACTTAACCTTTTCCGTGATCAGATCCAAGAGTCCATCACGGAAGGATTCTACAGTCTCAAAGCTCCTCTAGTAATGTTTTGTTTTCTTTGTTTTCTATAAACTTTAATCTGGTCACCAATAACTAGCAAAATGAACTGCATTCATTATTCATTAACTTTCAGATGTAGAAAATACAGTGGAAAAATCTATCCTTTCAATCAAAGATGAGTTCTTATTGTAATTAATTATCGGATGTTGAATATTTGCATCAAAGTTTCGTTCGTAAGAGAGAGCTCAAAAGAAACTAGAAAGATCTGCATTGTTTCACCATTGGAACAAAACCATCGATAAGATCCAAACATGGAGAAGCGAGAATCAAAGATGCCGACACGAGGAGGAAAAGGAAAGAAAAAGTGGCAAGACTCGTGGAGAAAGAAGGAGTAAGTAAGTGCGTGTGAAGAAAGAGTTACCTTTCTTGGCCGGCAGTGTCCCATATCTGAGCTTTGATGAGTTTATCTCCGACCTTGATATTTCGGTAGGCGAATTCCACTCCAACAGTGGGCTTGGAATCCAATCGGAATTCATCTTTTGCAAACCTGGAGAGTAGATTTGATTTCCCAACCCCAGAGTCGCCAATCAGAACAGCTTTGAACAGGAAATCACAATATTCATCAAATGCATCAGCCATAAACATTGATCTTTCTCTTCTCTCTGAAGCTCCCCTCTCCTCTGTCAAGGCTTGTGAAGAAGGTGGAAAACCCTGAGCTTGAAGAATATGCTAGTTAATATGGGAAGTAGCTAGTAATAGGGTGCAAAAGGATCGCCGTGTTTGTTTTTTGGCGTGTATCGACTAATTTACATGTGAAACCGAAGATAACGACATGATGACTGGTCCTTGATGGTGTCCATTCTTGTGGATGTCGTCAACTATAATAGGAAGAACCCGACCTGGTTGTACCGAATTCCCAAGAAGGTCCAATGACATTGTTCCACCTGCCATCTACCTTTTGGATGTTGGCAGTTTTATGCTGATCGCATGGCCCTTCTCATTGGGTGTTGACGGCTTTATACGCTTTGCCCCAACACTGGCTACAATCACATGTGGTTTAGATCATAACAATGGCTTTGGTGGTTCTGAAAATGTGGAAGGGTAATGATTCCAAATTATAGGACCTTTGGGTAATCATTGTTTAGATGTCATCATGTTAGTGGGTGGAAGCCATTGCTGTGATAAGTAAATTAAGATGGCTTTGGAATTTGGATTCAAATCTCTTGCGATGTGTTAATAGGTAGTTTGCTGAACCTGTGCTCTTTTTTTTTTTTTTTCTCCTGGGTTTTGCAGGTTAAGAGCCCACAACATTAAGCAGGCTTCTTATTTTTATTTTAAACAACCCTGATACGACTTCCCATTCAGAGCCTCTAATGAAAACAAACCAGACCATGTATATTTTAGTGAACGAATCAGACATTCAGTGTGTGTCTGGAGGTTTCCTTCTTCATTTTTTTTTTTCGAGCAATCTGGAGGTTTTCTTTTGTTTTATTACTTGCAGATAATCCTCTAAATGTGAACACTTTTGTCAACAGGAATTTGAATCTCATATGTCATATTATAAAGAATTAGTCCTTTTTATTAAACTCAATCCTCCTTTGGTATGTTTTCTTTTGTTATTATCGCGTACCTGCCGCTCAACTAAAAGGCCTCAGCTCATGTCAACAAAAAACTAAGAAAGAAAGAAATAGAAAAAGGCTTTGGCCTTAAATTGTATTTTGAGAGCTGTTCGAAGTCCGACCATTGGTTTGGCCTCAAGTTGAACCATTGGAGCCGGGGAAATAAAAATTACAGTATCAGATGAAGCAGCCTTGCTCTATTTATTATTCTTAAATAATATGGCTTGTTAAAATTTTTTACTCCCTCCATCTCAAATTATAAAATACTTTTAAATAAAATTTATATATCAATAAATTTTATTAAATATACTTAATTTTATTTTTTAAAAAATATAAATTTTTAAAAATATCTATCATTTAATATATTAAAAAAATGGATAAAAATTAATTATAAAAAGCGATCGAGTAATATTAAAATTGATACATATAATAAAATATTAATCTACCTAAAATATCTTATATTTTAGGATAAATAAGTTCTTTTAAAAATACCTTATAATTTGAAACGAATGGAGTATTATGTATAGATTATCTATTTATAAGAGTCTTTGTAAAACCCTTTTTTTTTCAAGTGTATATAAAACTTATAATTTGTTCTTTACAAAATCTGAAAAATTGTCAAAGGGTAAAATGAACCTCAACAATTTTTTATTAAAAAAAAAAAAAAAGAGGCATCGGAAAACTTTGGAGCGATGGAGACTCCATAATCCACGTCTCCTCGAATAATAGAATGACATTTTAAGGACTTGACTTTTGAATGTTAAAAAAATGACATTTTAAGCGAAGTAGACTACGGCTCTGAAAAATGAGGGATGTGGACTGTTATAAAATGTGCATGCCACATTTTTTTTATCTTAAAAAATACGCATATAATTTAAATAATCATCAAAGCAATAAAAAGCATGCGAAGCAATACATTTAGTGGATCATCATATTAATTAATTCTGATTATTTCAAGTAATATGATTCAACCACTCCTAAAGAAAATCTATTTCTTTATAGACATGGAAAAAGTGATCCCCTTGAGTATTGACAAATGGCTGCCAAAATGCAATAAGGACGTTACTGCTTACGGGCATCCTAATTGATCAATCATTTACTTCAATTTAATTATTTAACAAATGAAATATTTAATTAAATATATTTTTAAAAATATTTATATTCAAATAAAATAATTACTTATTTTCAAACTAACCCTATCTTTTTATATTTATTCTTATTTAATAAAGTGTTTTACCTTAAAATAAATATAAAGTAATTTACTTAATGGAGACATTTTTGCAAGGTACTGAAAACCGGAACGGTCATTAAACCGGCCAAACTCAGGGGTCAGAGGTCATGGATTCAACCGGGGGTCAAATCGGAGTCAGACAGGTCATAATAAAATAATATAATTTAAATAAAAAAAATATTAATTGTCAATACATTCATCCATATCCAAGTCTTAATATCTCATATAACATATAACAATAATTCTAACAATAATAAAGTATAACAACATTTCTATATTTTTTTAAAATAAGGTTAACTAAATGATAAAAAAATTTTAATGAGTTAAAATAATAGAAATAAAAATTTATTTTAAAATAAAAGATAATAAATAAAAGTGATATATTCTAAAAATTATTTAATTAAATAATTCAAAATTAAAAAATAATATAATATAATATAATATATATTTATACTTTTTGATTTATTTTTGCATCTTTCGTCCCCTCATCTGACATAAGTATGATTTTTTTTACCCTATGACTCCTATTGACCTATCATTAATCATTATCATGTCAAAAATAAATATATATCTTGGTTAATTATTATCAATTTTTTTTAAAATTTCAACCCGCCCAACCCGCCTGAGCCGAGAGTTTGGGCAGGTTAATCCCGGGTCACCCGGGTTAACTTAAATCACAATAAAAAGAAAAACCGGACCGGACACATGGCTGGGTCACCGATTCACCAGTCGGACCGACCAATCTTGTCCGGTTTTAAAAACAATGCATTTTTTAGAGGAAAAAGGAACAATGATTACATCTTAAGAGATTAAAAATATCTCATATTTTTTAACATTTAATTCCTCAAAAAATATATTATATTTTTAAATGAAGGGAGTGTTTATTTAGTTGGACAACTAGGTTCATTATTGGAAAGTTCAGTCTCAAATTATCACATGCTTGGGTTGAAAGTTTACATATTCAAATTCTATTAGAAGCCTATACATTTTGTTTGAGGCTACTTTTATTATAGCCTAAATTATTACTCATTTTGTATTAAATTATAAGATACTTTTTAAAAGAATTATGTAGAGTCATAAAACTCATTAAATATATCTTACAGCCTTATTTTTTAAAAAAATAAATTTTTAAAATACCTTTTATTTAATATTTTATTTATTAAAACATATTAACGATGAATAATATAATGAGAATAGTAATATTATAAAGATGTCATGGGAGAATGATAGATAAATCTCTTTGAAATATGAAAATAACAATTTGGTTTCATAAAATGTGATAACAATAGTGAGGTCTCAAAAAACTTCTTTGATATTACTTTTTTATGTGAAATTACTTTAGTGCCCATTTGTGACTAATTTTATATGGTTCATAAGTTTGGTATAAGCATTCACAAATTTAGTTTTACTAATAACTAAAATGGTATAAGAAATTACAATTTTTTATTAGTAATTTTCTTCATTCAATAAAGTCCAACTAATTTTATATCATTTACAAGTATGATAAAAGTATTCACAAGTTTAGTTTCACTAATGATTAAAATGATTTAAAAAATTATAACTTTCTCTTAGCAAATTTTAATTAATTTTATATTATTTATAAATTTAGCACACGCATTTATAAGTTTGATTTCACTAATGATTAAAATAATTTAAAAAATCACAATTTTCTAAATAGTGTAGGAGTACTCAAATAATTTCACACAGAATTTTAATTCTAAAGAAGCCCATTGGGACTTTACTATAATTTTTTCATTTTAGAGAGATTTATCTATTATTTTCTCAAATATTATTAACAAAATTTTATTTTTTATAAAGTGTATTATGTTTTAGAACACTAAATATTTTTTAAAAATATTGTATAATTTAAAATAGAGGAAGCATGACCCATGAAGCTATATGCCTCATATGAATTTTTTAAAGTAATTTTAATCTAATTACACTGGATCTATTTTTACAAGACTCATTTGTAACAACGGAACCTTCATTCTGTATTATATTTAGGGAGAATGACAAATATGAATTTTGTAAAAATATTAATGTTAAATTAAAAATTTTAACACTGAAACATGATAAAAGGAGTATTAAAATTCAAGAATGTTAGTATTGAAAAATTTTAATTTAACATTAATATTCTTACAATTTATTTATTTATCATTCTCTCTTATATTTTTATTTCACTTAAAAATCACTTTAAGCAATTTATATTTGATGTATATCGACCCTTAAAGTCACAGAAATTCAAGATCATTGCGAATCACTTTAAGTATCCTCCACAGACCACAGGTAAGGAAAAAACCCGAACGAAAATTGCTCTATACATGAAATAAATGATTGAATAAAATGATTTTTCAGTCCTCTAAATTTTGTGTAAGGTTTTAATGTGACTTTTATTAATATAACCCATGTTATAGGATCAAATTGAGTAAATAACCTGACATTTATTATATTATATATTATGATCGATTTATTATATTTTTCAATGATATATTGTTCTATATTAATGATAAATCTTTTATAAATTTTTAACGATAAATACTTTATGTATTAATGATAAAGACCTTATATATCAATGTAAATTAACTATACTCCTAAAATTTTAAAAATTTGGTTCATATTTTTTGGTCACAAATTTTTTATGCCAGTGGATTAATTTATTTCGTTTTAATTTAGTTTCTTAATTTTATACTTTCAATTCTTTAATTTTTAATACTGTGAGTTTTAAATTATTATTTTTATATCAATCATAAATATTTTAAAAAATTAAATTTAATATATTAATATTTAAAAATATTTTATTAGTATTTAAAAGTTTAAAATGAAACTTTCTCTTTGATGAAATTAATGATATTAATGTTAAATGATTAAAAAATATTTTAAAAAATTAATAGATAATCACTGCTTTCGCTCACATTAACTCAAATGGATTAACTCTATATTAATATTGGGATGATACGTGAAATTTGATCTCATATATCGATGAAAGTTATTAAATATACTTTATAATTTTAAATTTTTTAAAAATATAAAATTTTTTAAAATATCTTTCATTAAATAATTTAGTTGTTAAGG